AAATACCCAACAAGAAGTTTGTAAAAAAATCGATATCTTTGTTTTCCTTTCCAAGAGTTATTCGTTGGCCTAATACTATAGCTATAACTATAGCCCTTTACATTATTTATTTTGAATAAAAGACAAGTATTGAGGTCTGTGAGTTTTTCGGTCAATAGATGGTGGCAAAATAAAACACTGTCTTTAGATATCGAATGATAGTGTTTTATTTTGTTACCATCTATTGACCGAAAACCCACAGACTTAAATAGGCGCCTTTTACGGTCACTAATTAACCACTACATCATTCTCTATTTTGTTGCTGTCTATTATGATATTGGGATTCACCGGACACATAGTTTTGGTTTTATTTATATTGATTTTGAGGCCTATTTTCCTTGATTTTTGGTTCAGATCTGTAATCATTTTTTCCAGGTGTTCAGGTGTATAGGCATCTCATGTTTCTTATTATTTTCTATTGCATTTTCTACTTCTATTATGTAGTTTCCCTCCAAATCCTTGCAAATCATTTTGCTCTCATCTTGCTTCTCTTCTGACCTGGCGGTATTCTTCTGTGTTTTGTTTGTCTTCGCCGTACAAGGTCCTTTTTTTTCTATCAGCTGAATCTTTTTCGCTCTTAGTTTGTTTGTTTTTCTTGTTTTCCTTCTTGCGATATTGAGTGCTGTTTCCATAATTATCGTTGTTAGGTGTGTTGCCACTTCACTTATATTTGTTGGGCTTATACTTTCGCTTAATTTGGCTTTCAATTCGTTTTGGTATATGATATTGTTTTCTTTCAGAGTGAGAGTTTCAGAGTCATCTATTGAGTCTGTCTTGTATTTAATATATCTTTTCGACTTCTGTATGGATAATTTAGCTCTGACTATCCGGTGGTCGCTTCCTGTGTTGAAAGAGTTTAGATTTGAGATATGGGTAACAATTCTCTTGGACGATGATATAATATAATCGATTTCGTTACGTGTTCTGCCGTCAGGGCTCATCCATGTCCATTTCCGTTGTGTTTGTTTAAGAAAGACGGTGTCCATTGCATAAAGTCTTTTGTATGTATGTATGCTTACGATATTTAAAACATTTAATAAAATTAAAAACATATTTTGAACATTAGGAAAAATAACTGAGCTTTGTAAATAAATATGTATGAATGAATGAATGTTGTCTACTTTTGCGTGGCTTGCTTAGGTATTACTTACCTATCAACAACTTTTTGAAACTGGCGGGGAAACTCGGGGTGGCCAAGCGTCCCCTCACAGGTGATTACAGTGGAGACTTCTTCTCCCTGATGACCACCATCGGGGGCCATTTACAAAAGAAGCAGGCGCGACTTGTCGCGCCGAAAATCACGAGGGCCCCGAGCGGGCGCGCTCACGCAAATAATTGTAGGGAGAGCCATCCAATGTTAATTTTTGCAGGCCTATTAATACAATAGATATTAACTTTACGCGAATTCAACATAAGCTTTTTGTAACAAACTATAAAACACAATTTAAAATAACAAAATAAATTTAATCGAATTTTAATTAAAGGTAATAAAGAGGATAGTAAAGGTAGCAGCTCATTAAAAATTTGGTCCTAAAGCAAATAATAATGATATGCTTATCTGTTCATATGCTGTAGGCTACACTTAATTCAGCTCTTTAGTCTGATGTTGACTACACCAAATTTTAATGAACTCGTCAATAGGATTGTATGTGTAAAAATGTCATTGCGAAAGTTTATATACAGGGCACATGATCAAAAGGGTACTGAGACATTCTTTGGCTCAAAAGAAGACGATCTTAATAACTTAAGTTTTATTCAGAAAAAATGGCTGGCTCCTCAACTATTGATGTCTCAAGTCCTTCAAAAAAACATGTTTTTTGAAATATCTAGAAAATGATACGATAGATTTTAATGAAACTCGTGAATTTATGCAAGACTCATGTTTTGATGAAGTAAGCGAGTTCACCCGCTTTACGCAAGGGACGAATTATTGAGTGTACATAAATACCAGAACTTTTTCTTTTGAAGCTGGAATCAACTATTTTCTTTTTCAGTTGATACACTATTTTTTTGTACATTGTGTCCACTTTGTGAAATCTTGGAATATTCATAGTTTTAGAAGAAAAAAAATTTGTTATCTTGCCAATTGACGTTTTAGATAAGTTTTTACATTAACAAAACTTAAATGAAGTGTTCTGCAAAATCGGAAAAGCGCTCAATGCATTTTAATGAAACTTGCTATGGATGTGTTCCTACGTCAGGGCAATGTTTTGCTAAAAACTCGCACTTGTTTTTTAAGTGAGATTTTTTATGATCGCGATTCGGACGAAAACGTTTCCAAAAGACGACCGGTCATAAGACTTTGACCATGTCGGTAAGTTAAAAATTATAAAACAATTGAAAATTAATTGATTATAATGAAAACATTATCGCTTGCTACATTTCGCAAAAACTACTATTTCTACAAGACGTTACAAAGAGACCAAAAATATCCATAAAAGATTAGTGCATAAACTAAAAAAAAAATCAGTTGACCAAATAAATCGTTCTGATACACTCAAGAGCTCCTCACTTTCACTTTGGAAGGATGAACTCGGTTGCTTCCTCAAAACATGAGCTTAAGTACATAGGACTAAATTCATAACGAGTTGCGCTAAAATCCATCGCAAAATTCTCCCGAATTTTCAAAAGGTATTTTTTTTTAAGAACTGAGCATCAATACCAGAGGAGCCAGACATTTTTATGAGTAAAAGCGGGACACCCCGTATAATATTATTTAAGTTCCGTTAACCAATTATGCATATAAAATGCACCTGAAATTTACGGACAGATTACTGTTACAGGGTAGTAGTTAAATAGATAAAATCATTAAATAGGGCCTCCATAAATAAGACTAGTTTTTCGATAAGATAATAGGAAGCGCTTAACCAGTCAAAAATCTACTATGCATTTACATTTTAATTGGTTTTTCTTAAAACGATTAATGTCGTACTTCCCGAAATTATGATTGAGTGTTTGCTAATAACTCAAATAAACGGGTTAAACGGAATGAGCAATGTAATGTAAAAAAATCCCGGAAAACCCCACAATGTAAATTTGCTGCGAGCTGCTTGATTCTATGATAAAAAGCAAAATTCCGCGAAATATTAAAGTATTCACTGTAATATTAAAATAACAGTATTACTGATTAAGAAAAAAATTATATAAATCCTTTTAATTGGAAATATTATAAATTGAAACGGCGGTAATTCAAATTTCCTATTGGTTTAGTTGTAACTTAACTATAACTACAGATCGCTAGCTGCAGTACTCGCAAGCACTTTCCAACAGCAGAACTTTTTTGAATTTTAAAATATTTTTTTAACGAATTTGTCTTGTTTGCGTCTTATTTCCTGGAAATACTACAAACCAGTATACATTAATGACAAGATTGTACCATATGAGAATACATCTAAATATCTAGGCATAACCCTCGATGCAAAACTCAGGTGGAAACCACACGTCAAGAAGAAACAGGAAGAACTGAATCTGAAGTACAGAAAGATG